GTGGCAGCGGTTTTCCCACACCAGCAATCAGGTGGGGACAGGTCTGCCCCTGGAACTGCTTTTCCTGCTGGCTGGTTCCGGTGTGTTTCCAGCTCTGCTTGAAGTGGGAGCCGTTATAATCGCGTTTCCCTCAGTTATAGCTTCCCCAAAAGGCCTTTGGGTCTTTCAGCCTTTCTGAAGAAGCGGGCTGCTGGGGTCCCTGGTGGGCTGCTGGGGTCCCTGGTGGGCTGCTGGGGTCCCTGGTGGGCTGCTGGGGTCCCTGGTGGGCTGCTGGGGTCCCTGGTGGGTGGCTGTTGGCAGCTTGCTGGGAAGTGCGGTGCTGGAGTCTGGGACATGGCCACAGCTGAGCTTGTGCTGTGCCTTCGCACAGTGAGAGTTGTGGTTGCTGGGCTGGGTTTCACTTGTCGGGTTAGCCTGTGCCATAACACTTGAAACAGTTTTCAGAGCAGAACTTGGCCATATAAAGGATATTATCTTCCAAAGTCCCCTGGCAGACTGAAAAGTGACACAGATTAATTTCCAGTCAAGCGTTTTGTTATTTAACAGGCTTTTTTGTTATTTCACTGCAAATATTTGTGTGTGTATGCTTTTCTGAATTTTAGATGACTTAATGTTCTAGTGTTTAATTTGCATGTCTGTCTTTTTGTTTTTAGATCATTTAATCCAGTCACAGTAATTTAATCGGCAAATACTTCGAATAAAAAGGAGAAAAATGATGTCCAGACAGGCCTTTCTCTGCAGTTTGGGATCTTTGTATTTGTCCCTTCTGTTCGTATTTCTTCTAATGGATGTTTATGCAAGGCCTGCAAATAACTCGGCCCTCAAAGAGAAGCCAGCTGACAGTAAAGATGAGAATGAGATCTTGCCCCCAGATCACTTGAATGGGGTAAAAATGGAAATGGATGGACATCTTAACAAAGAATTTCATCAAGAAGTTTTTCTAGGAAAAGAGATGGAAGAGTTTGAGGAAGATTCAGAACCCAGAAAAAATAGGAAAAAGCTCATGGTCATCTTTTCAAAGTAAGTTATATATATATTGCCAAGAAGAGTGCAGTTTTTTCTCTCATCTTCAGAGTAAAATTTGCAAATTTTTCTGTAATATTTAAAAATTGTAATGATGAGGGAGAAAGCATCATACTATAAGCACTGTGTTCCTGTTACTAAGGTATTTACATACCTTAATTTTTCCTGACTCAATAAATAATCAATCACACTTGTACCTTAGATCAAGGAATTAGTAAGGAAGGGCTTCCTTAGTGGTAGGATGGCCATGCAATGAACTGGGAGGGCGTAAGTTTGTTCCAGTATTGTTCTAGTTTCGTTCTAGCTGTAGTATGCTGTATTGCTTTGCTGTAAGTAACTTGATGTGACAGCTTTCTTCATTAAATTAGCAGTGTTGTTAATGAGATATTCAGCTCCTCAGAGTTTAGAAAGAGAAAAGAGAACGAGGATGAAACACGAGAATAGAAATACTACATTTTTCTTTTGTAGCCTTTTTGAAAACTTCAGCTAGCTCTTTACTTGCTGTAAACACATTAACTTTACTTTTAGACATTAAAGCATTTTTCCTTTTATAAAGCACTTGTGCTAGATAACGTTTGTGTCAGCTGATAAAATACCAGATGTTTGGAGGTCAGTAAACATGATGGAAATGGAAATTATAGTCAGTGCATTCTTGTAGACACTGGGTGGCAGAATTGGCTTTTTTGGCATTTTTTCAAGGGAGGATTAGTTTTATTAAAACAGCTTAAATTACATTGCCGCTCTTAATGCTGATGGTGTTGTGGGGATGCACATATACTTGGGATAAAATGAGAAGGCTTAAAGCTTTCCTGCAAACTTTTCCTTAACAGGGAAAAATGTCAATAATATAATTGGAATTTTTTTCCCCTGGTGTGCTCCTGAGTAAAAGCAAATAGGCAAACCAGAGTGCCTTTTTCATTTAGAGTAGAATCCGTTATTACTATGTCTGCTATTCAGACCACTCACTTCCTTGATAGGATATATAGAAATATTAAGATTGTGCCTAGAAAGTTTCATTTTCTTTATTGCTGTGTGCTCACTGGAAACGTTCAGCTGGTGGTTAGTAAATTGTCATTCACAAATTGCAAACTCCATTCACTTCTGCCTTTTTGTTATGAAAGCAGTTGTCTGAAGGAGCTTGAAGCAATTGGGTTCAAGATCAACTTCACTTGGATACTTAATTAAAATCACATTCTGTCACATGATCAGATGAGAAATGTGGAAAAGCATTCTGAGGAATTTAGTTGCTTTCCAGACATACTCTTAAAGGCTGAGTGAAAAGAGAAATACTATGAGCTTCCGTGGGAAGCTGGTAAGTCACAGGCTTCCAGGTGCTTTGGAAATACTTTATTGGAAAACATAAAGGAAACACATGGTGTGTTTTTAATTAATGACAGCTGAGGTTCTACAGCATGCCAGTATGATATAAAGTAGTCAATTCAAAGCATACATTATTGTCTAATAGGATTACTGAAAATAAATTAGAAACATGGAAGAAAAGCTCCCCAAACCATGTTTTTCCTGGTGAGCAAGCTGTGTGTGACTGAAAGAACAAGTGCCGTTTCATAAATCTATATTTCAGTTTCTGAAGATTTCAGTTTCTGAAGTCACTCTGTACTGGGAGGAATATTTACAACACTGTCTCTCAAAAGCAGAAGTGTTGTTTGTGGACACTGAAAGGATTTCAGCTCACCTTGTGCAGTGGGTGCCTGCTAGTTTGTGAAAATCTGAGTCCTTGATTGTGAGCTGTGGTAGCAGAGCAAAGGTGTAGTTTCATGAGCTGGAAGAGCAATAAATGGAATGTTTGTTACCTTTCTCCCCGGTTACAGTGTGATTCAGATGGAGAGTGCAGCTTGGAAGTAGTAAGTTTGATGGCTTTGATCTGAGGAATCTAGAATGTTAAATGTTGAGAGGAAAATGCTTTGTTTTCCATTCTCATTTTTGATAATACCTATTCCGTATCAAACCCCACGTTTGTTCACCTGAGCACAAGGTGGTGCGACTGGAACATGACCGTTTTACTGGTCTTGCCATTGATCCTGAAAAGCTGCTGATACAGAGCCTGTGCGTGTGTAAAGATGTGATACGATGTTTAAAACCACTAATACTGCGTTTATTAATACAGTTAAGTGTTGCAGAAGATTTAAGTGCTAGGGTTGTTATTTGGCTTAAGCTTCTAACATTTAGTTGACATTTAAAGGCAAATCACATATTTGATAATTCGAGTTTCAATGATAACACTTCGGTGCCGTTAAGGCAGTGATACAAACAGATAAAAAAAAGCTAGAGTCAAGCTGGGGTTTTTTGTTCTGTTAAAAAAAATACCCAGCAAAAACCAGTGAAAAACACAAGAGGGGTTTTGGTATGCTTTAAATAGAATCTTTTCTTGTGAATGTTAGTGATGTCTTTTCAGTTGTAAATATTGTTGTCTTTTTTTTTAATAAATACTTAATGGTATGCTCAAAAAAAATTTTAAGTGGCATGTTATTTGTTCTTCAACTCTAATTTTTGTATTAACTTCTTTTTAATGAAATGAGCATTAATGGAATTGATGGTGTGGCAGAGTATCTTATACAGTAAAGCGGGTGTTGGTAAGTACGTTAAGGAGAACAGTGGGCTGTCAGATTGGATGTTTTTACTGATAATATTAGGTAGAAAAACTTTAATTCTGTAGCTCAATAGGTCAGTAGCACTGAGTACAGCATATCCTTTGACAGAGCAAAGTGAGCCTGGTAACTCAGAAACCTAATGGAGAGCAAAGGTACATGCAGAACTTTTAAATGTGTGATGAATTAAAAACTATCAGCTGTAATGTCTTGCCAGAGATCAAGGTATAATAAAGGAAACCTGGTTTGTTTGTTTTTTTTTTCCCAACTTACAAGTACTACAGCCAAAGTATTAGATAGTTTGAAAGTCCATGCACTCAGTAAACTTCAGAGATCTTGGAAGATCAAGGAGAAAAGGACTTGGAAAGTTAAATTGAGAGGGAGTTGATGGTTAGAGAGAATGTTAGAGAGGAAATTTTTCAGAGTGGTGGAAGTCTGGAGCAGCTGGCAGATGACAGTTCTGCACCAGTAGGAAATGAGCCAATATGCCAGGAGGGATGTATTTGTGGTTTCCTCTGCTTCAAAAATTTACTCAAAAACTTAATATTGAAATGAGTTAACTTACAGCAAAGGGAAGTATGGCTGAATGTTTTTCGCTGGGTAGTAACCTAGATGTTGTAGTTAAATAAATATAAATTTGAAATAAATGGCCAACTTGCTACTTGTTTACTCTGTAGTTCAAAGAATGTACAATTTCTCAGAGAGAGTTATCAATACACTGTTTTCTGTAGCAACTTATGTTTGTTATTGTTGAATAATTAATTTAGAATCTAAAAATGTATTACACTTTCCCCCTATGCCCCTGATCCCCAAATCTAAATCTATTTACTATGCTGTTCATCCGTAGGGTGGATATAAATAATGATAAAAAGATAGGTGCAAAAGAGATGCAGCGCTGGATCATGGAAAAGACAGATGAACATTTCCAGGAAGCTGTGGAAGAGAATAAAATGCACTTCCGAGCTGTGGACCCTGATGGTGATGGTAAGATGAATGCTTCCTCAATCTTCTGACGATATCTTAAATCAGTTGCTGGTAGCCAAACCTACTGGCTGCTCTCCAGATGTGCTGTGACAAAATCCAGGTTCCTTTGGGCTGCCTGTAATCACCACAGCTTTGGTCTGTGCAGAAGACACTAAAGCAAAGAAATATGTGCTTCAGTCAGCGTTGTAGTTCTGTGTTGACTGCTGTTGTTTCACTTGTGGTCGTAGGAAACTGTAACAAGTTTTGTAGCTCTACCAGAAATGGGGGGAGGACGGTGACATAAACAGGTTATTTTCACAAGATCTGTCTGGTCTAAAGAAGCATAAAAGTGAATCAGTTTTTGTATCACCATTTGTAAAGCTTAATGTGATGGTTGGAGTGCTGAACCAAAAGATTTTAGCATGTACTGTTTTAGGTAATGAGACCAAAAGTTTGTCATTTAGGCATACTGTGTCATGTCTGAGATCTGGCTCTTTCTTGCAGGTCATGTGTCCTGGGATGAATATAAAATTAAATTTTTGGCAAGTAAGGGTTTTAATGAAAAAGAGATTGCAGAGAAGATCAGAAACAACGAAGAGTTGAAAATAGATGAAGAAAGTAAGTGTAGACCGTTGGGGTGTGTCAATTTTTTCTTTTACTTTCCTAAAAATCTAAATATCAAAACTGCTCTTGATATAAGACGAATGTTTTAGTTCTTCTGCTTCTACACAAATGTAGAATGTGTAAGTCCCAAGACAGAAATACTAGATTTCTTTCTGATCCATATGTGCCTTCAACACTTTTGATGTAAATATTTAACACAGAAAAATCTCGGTTGCTTATTTGAACAATTTTGTTATTTATGTTTAACAGTGTGTTAAAGCCAGGCTTGTGCTGTGGACCGTTGTATTATTAATGCGGTAAGCAGGTCCCCTGTTGCTCCCCATGAAAAGGAGCTGCTGCACACGAATCCTACTCTAAACTGAGGAGGGGTGGATGTGCCACCAGCGTTGTGTTTTAAATAGGTCGGTGGTTGGGCACTGCAAAGCACACTAGGAGCTAATAGCAGAAGGTTGCATAACAATTGTTTCATGTTTCATCTGAGTTCTGTATAGAGACTGATTCTTTGGGTGAGTGAGATTGATCTTTTCTTCCGTGTTACTTTTGAAACTTTCATTTGAATCTGGCTTAGTAGAAACATGGCAACTCTTTCAGAGTCATCTCCCCAGTCCCCCCCATCTAAAAGCGTTTGAATTTACTGTTAAGTAAAACGTGAAGCCTTAGCCTTTCCTTGCAGGAATTAGTCATTTAAAAGTGGGTTATGTTATTTTTTCCATGTATCAAAAAGCAACTGAAATGCAAATGGGCCTTTGAATTTGATGGCAGGGAAAACACCTGTGCAGCGTGCTTTATGGCAGTGTGGTTAACTACAGTTTACAGGAATGCTCATCAGATAAAAGATTTGCTGAATAAGGGAAGTGTGTACATAACCATTTTTCCATCTAAGTAACAAGCCTTGTTTGGGAAAATCAAATTAGTTATCTACCGCTTCCTGAGGGCGATAGACAAAGCTTATTTTCATACTGCAGTGCAGTGTAAAAGTACTCTTTCTCGATCTGTATAGTAAAAACTAACTGAATGTGTGGATCTTAAGGCATGTTCTGAGTCTTGCACAGAAACACGCTACAGTTTGGATGCCGTCTCAGAACTAGGGACACAACTTTACTTCACTTATGCAGATAACAGCAGTTGCAACTGGTGACTGACAGTTGAGTTTCATTTAAGGCTGAGTAAGAAAGGTAGGCAAAGGGAGATTGGCTTGTGACTTGTACCATTTGAGGCTGGCTACACTGGAAAATCAAAAGCAAGTGATTTGATTATTCCGTGTTTACTTGTGTGCTTGATGTAACTAAAACTTGCCCTAAGATTAAGACTCTGAAGGATTTCTTTACTCTTCACAAAAACATGCTCACTGAAGGCTTAACTCTTAATTACAACTAGCAGTTCAAAAACTTAGATGTGACCATTGAGTTTGTTTTTTTTTTTCCTCTTATAACTCGGCAACCAAAAGCATGCAGGAGCTAGTTAAGACAGTTTATTAAATTAAAATAAAAGTTTATTATCTGAAGACTGTAGTCTTTCAGAGTTCTTTTAAAACTTGTGGAAAGCAAATGGTTCATATTTGTGTGTTAGTGTATTTTGCAGATTGTAGGGTGTACCACAGACTGTATTTTTTTCCAGTGTGTCATTTAGAAAATGCCTACACTAGAAAAAGAGTACTCTCTACAGGTATCTTTTTCCTGTTTGGTTATGTTCGAGACCACTAGGTGCACATAATATTCACGTTGTGTGTCGCAGAGTGTTTTTTTTTCTTCAAATCAGATGCATGGTTTTAGCAGAAACTCATGTACAAGTTATGATTCTCGGTCGAGTTTAGGAAAAATTCACTTAAAAAGTAAGATGAAATGAAAGAAGTGGAAATGCAAAATGATTGTGGTGCTGATGTATCTGTTCATACCCATGTACTTCAACTTGTGTTTGCTCCTTGCAGCAAAAATATTTTTCTTTATTAAATTATAGCGATAACAAAAACATATGCAAGGTTTAGGCCTGAAGCCAGAATGCTTTCTGGTGTAGAACAGACAAAGTAGCTAAAAGGAACAATAAGTACTTGTATCCTTAAGTAACTGAAAATTAAATGCATTTCTTGGCGCTCAGCTTAGAGTCTGTTCTTCGTGTTTCCACACTTTCTTTTGTAGAGCTGCCCTCTTAAATCTCTCATAGTTCCAACAAATCACATCTTCAGCCTGAAATGCTGGATGATGTATGAGTCTAAGGATATAAGTTCTCTCTGAGTAGGAAATTCCTTTAAACTCCGAGCATTTGACAGGGTAGAGGAAGAAGGGAGGAGCAGAGGCAGGGCGCAAGTCGCTTTGTAGCTTTCCTGGTCCTCTGCTTTATGACTTTGCTCATACTATCTTCTCAGTTAAATGCTTTGTAAAGAACAGCTGTCTGTTGAAAAGTATTGTTAATTGCTGTAAAAACTAGGCTTTGATTTTTTCCTTTTTATAATCTATTTGATGCAATTCTTAAGCTTAATTCATATCTGTAGTTTTGTGGAGAATGAGGATGCTATCTGGAATGGTGGTGTGGCTGGAGAAAAAAAACTCTGCACTTCAAATGGTGTGCAGTATGCATAACTGGATCATCGCTTTGGTAGATCACTGTACCGTTGTGTTCACTCAAATCCTGTGAGCTGGAACATACCTAAAAAGCGTTTAAAACAATCACCTGGGTTTGGTTTAGACAATGGTGTGTTAAGAAATGCCAAATTGAAATAAGAGAAGCTGAGTGTTGTAACATTGGAGTAATAAAATGTGTCCCTTTGCTCATGCTTGGAACCGCTGTGTTTGCAAAGAATATTTTCCTACCTGTGGTAAACTTAACAAGTGCTACAGAGTAGAATAAACGTTGATAGTGCTGTTAGCCAAAGCACTAGTACGGTGGTGCTTCACCAGTCAGAAGCATCTTTCTAGGTTTAATGGTAGTCGTGATGTTTGAGAGAGGAGAAAACACGTTAAAAGGTTTATTGTTCTGTGGTTATTTTTTGGGTAGGAAAAGAATTGGTTGACATCTTCCTTTCACGTAGAGGTTAACTAGATACGTGATGTTACAATTGCAATACATGGAGCTAGGGAATCTGAAGAACATTTTGGATTTGAAGAATGTTTTGGCTATTTCATTGCACAGGACTGGTGTGAAGTAGAAAACAAATAATTTGTTCAGAAGAAAGATACTCCTGCTATGCAGACAGGTGAAAGATTTCAGTTGGTAGTAGGCATCAGAACATGAAATTAAGAAAGGAGAACAGCGAGGACTGGACAAAGTTAAATTATTCATATCTGCTACCAGAACCAGCTAACAATACTGGTAGGACAACACTTTTCACTTGGTACACTGAAGTTCCGGTGCAGGTGTAGCACCTTTTTCATCTCCTAATTTGAGTTCAGTTGTTTGGTTAAAGGATCTTTCCTGGGGCTTCAGCACAAACTAGACAGAGCTAATTGCACTTTGTTTCCCCTCGTTACCCCCTTTCCCTGGGAGTTGGACTGTTAAAAATTTTTTAACTGTAAAACTGTTAAAAATAACTGGTTCATAGGCCATCCTTGTTTGAACAATTGAGTAGCTGGGGAAGGTATCTTGTAAGAATTTTAAATAGATTGAACATGATAGCTGAAATCTTTTTCTTAAATTTCTAGCACAGGAAGTTTTAGATAACCTGAAGGATCGGTGGTACCAAGCTGACAACCCACCTCCTGATCTGTTGTTGAATGAAGAAGAATTCTTGTCCTTTCTTCATCCAGAGCATAGTAGGGGAATGCTGAAGTTCATGGTGAAGGAAATCATCCGGGATTTGGGTATGCCTTTTTAAAACAGTCTTCTTGGGAGCTGTTAACTTGCAAACCATTTTATTGAGTAGACGTTATTAGGCCATTGCGCCGTCACGGGTCAGTCTGAAATTTTAGCTCTGTTCTACCCATCTAATGTGATAAGTAAGAAAACCAAATTGTTAGCACAAACGTTGGCATCCCTGTGGAGTTGTCTGTGCGTCTTTCAAGACAAAATTTAGTCTCTAGTTGTTGAAGAACAGCACAACGTTATATGTTAGAAAGATATTCTGAGTACTTCATACAAGGAAGATCAAGTGCTGCTGCATTATAGGATCACTGTAGCAATAGTAGAAAAGGTTTGGATAGTAAAATATTATAAAATACATGGATGTGAATGTTCTGTGAGGAGGGGATTAATTGCTTTGTACTTCCCCAGTACAGCAGCTGTGTAAGAATCATGACGTGCAGCAGTCATGAAAGTGGAAATAAATGATTGAGGTTTCTAAGAAAATTTTTTTTTTTAATTCGTAGGTATTGGCATACTTTTTTTTTCTATTCAGTCAATAGTGGTGCATATTTAAAACTGTTAGAACATTGGGATTAAAATTGTTACCTCAATAAACATTAAGAGTTTCCGGTGATACCTGAGTGTGTGACATGCACAGACAGAACAACTCCGGCACGCAGTTTTTTGAGGGTTAATTTTCCTGAATGCTAATATGGGGGACACTGGATACAGCTGTAAGAAAATGTCTGTTGCAGTAGATTGTTTATTTTTCAACAATTGAAAAAAAAAAAAAAAAGCCCAAAGCCCAGCTTGCTGCCTGGTACGTCCTTCAGGTCCAGAAATTTTTTTGTTTAGTATATTAGCTGTATGCTTTTTAGCCTTCTAAAAACATTGCTTATGTACCATAATGCAGACAGTTTTCAGGTGACCAAAGATATAAATGGTAACTAGTCTTCTCTGCTAGTCAGGATTGTGGAGTGCTGAAACCAGGCAGACTGCACCGATGACATCTCTGACATGAAGGAATTTCTGATTTTTAATGGGCACTAAGCAAGTACTTTTTAGTTATTGTGACTTCTGTTGTAGATCAAGATGGAGATAAGAAACTTACCCTGTCAGAGTTCATTTCATTACCTGTTGGGACTGTAGAGAACCAGCAAGCTCAAGATATTGATGATGACTGGGTAAAAGATAGAAAGAAAGAATTTGAGGAGGTCATTGATGCTAACCATGATGGTATTGTCACAATGGAGGAGCTGGAGGTAAGTCTTCCTCAAATAGTTAGTTCTAGTGTTTTTAAAACCAAGAGTTGCTTTTTAAATACAGGATTGAAACTGCTTTAGAGAATATGAAGTCCAAAAATTTTTAAGTGCAGCGTGTGTGCCTACTTTAAAAAACTTTGGATTATAGTATCGTTCTATAGTGCTTGCAGACAGTGGTGTTATGCTTTCTGTTAAAGGGGAGGAGGAGTTTTCCTACCATAACTGTTATTCCTAGGTATGCTTTTGGGGTTTTCTGTCAGACAGACACTTGTATGGATAGGAAGTGCTTGAAAACAAGTCACAGGCTGGCTTAAGTGCGCTGGTTAATGGGATGATGAGTCATACTTTCAGTTGCAAAAGGAGTAACTGGCAACCTATATATTAATTAAAAAAAAAACCACCCAAAAAGAAAACAAACAAAAAAACCTAACAAGCAACAAACCCTGGGGCCTCAGTAGCCTAGAGATCAGAGATCTCTTGTCTTTCAGAGTGTTTTTTTTTTAAAATAAAAATAATAATAAAAAATACTATTTTTCAAGTGTGGATTCTAGTTTGTGACCTTTTTGAACTTTGGTTTGCAGAAGTAAGGCTTTCTTCTAATAATTCTGTGTGCAGAAGAGTCTACCAAACAACATGGAATATTCTGCACCCTATAACTGTGGCAGTTTTGTGGCCAATCAGAGATTTATGGCTCACTTCTGCCTTTTTTTTCCCCTTTCTGGATATAAGAATGGACTTTGAGTAGCAGAATTCAAACTGCAGCATAGGCAGTGGGAAAGAAGAACCTCTCAATCGTTGGTCTTCTCCCTGAGACAGGATGAATGTTCAAGCTCCTAACCTTCTCAGTGTGCAAATATATGGGTATGAACGATAGCAGTAGTATGGATAAACAGTTATATTGTGACACAGACAATGTTAATAGCCTTTTTACTGAGAATTTCTTTTAAAAATAGCTGGTTTGTCTGTGAATCTTTGTATACATATACACACATAGGTGCATGCACATGTACATCACGTTCTGGGAAGAAATTGAAGATAATCTTGAGTCTTCGATATCATGGACTAAAGTGCACTGCTTGAAAACTTAATCTGTTTCAGGTTAAGTGAAGGAGCAAAATGCTTTTTTTTTTCTGAGATTTCTGACCTCTATAATGTCTGCCTGGTCATTTAAAATGGAACAAGAAAGTTCTAAATTGAACATGTTCTAAAAAGATTACCTCCAGAAACAAGAAATTCTAGGTCATACAGCCCAATAGTGTGCCACTTTTTAGTTTTGAATTTATATTTCTGCACAAAAAGCACCAGATTTGATAGTGAGGTTAGTTTGCAACAAAAATGTCAAAAAAATTTTTATTCTAGACAGTGACATAAGCTGAGAAAATCCAGATTTCTGTTAGAACAACCAAGGAAGCAGTGAAGGGAAAAATAGCTAGGAGATAGATGTAAGGCTCTTAAAAATGTGCTAATGCTTTTTTTTCATTCTTGTGTTTGCTTTGAGATGGCTGATGTTGGTCTCATAATTGCTGAAGCTTACATAGAGCCAAGGTTTGTAATTCTGATGTGTGGTAATGTGTGCTCAGTAACTGAAAATTATTTCGTTACTTGTTTCAGGAATATATGGATCCTATGAATGAATACAATGCCCTAAATGAAGCAAAGCAAATGATAGCAGTAGCAGATGAAAATCAAAACCATCACTTAGAGTTGGAAGAGATCCTGAAATACAGTGAATACTTCACTGGCAGCAAGCTTATGGACTATGCACGTAACGTCCATGAGGAGTTCTGATCCTGCTCGCTTTTCCAGAGCTCTGAAGCACTTTCTTGCTTTAAAAAAAAAACAAACAAACAAAAAAACAACAGCAAAAACCCACCAAACTCAAAAAAACCAATCCCAAAACAGACAGAAAGTTACTTTGCTGCTATCTGTGTTATATGCCTACAGTGTGTTGTCCTAGACTTAAAAAAACTTCCGTCCATACATAAGATCTACAGCTGTGTTACCTTCAATATGAGGAGGGAAAAAAAAGTCCATAAATAATGGGGCAGGTCCTGGACTACGTGAATTTGCCCTGGTTTGTACAGTTAATCCAGCTGAAGTTTCAGCTGCGTTTGGCTAATCATGTTAGGTGGAATCTTCTTAAATATTTAACTTTTCTTGTTGCCCTCATGGCTGCTGATCCATGGAAATGATAAATGGCTTTCGTAAGGGGGATGGTGGTTCAGATACGTGTGTTCTGACCTCGTGAGAATATCCGTACATAGACTGATTGGCTCACCTTCCAGTGTTTTACTCAATGCATCTCAACCTACTTCTGTATTGTTGAGAATTTCATACAAGTTCTTCCTCCATCGCCTAACGATCGTTTGGAGCTGTGGGGAAGAACTTTATTTTAAACGCCACAGAGAAAGTCTTCTGCATCTGCTTTAAAAAGAAAACTGGTTGTAGTGTGACAGTTTCGTGTTTGCAGCTGCAGTGGGAATGTGAGAGACTGGAGTTGCTGATGACTTAAAATATGAAATTCCATTCTAAAATAAAACAATGGGGAAGGTTTCTTTGTGGGCTTAAAGATGTTGGACAGAGCAATGGGATTCACCCGGGTGTATGATTACTACTTAACTAAAGTTCATTGTTAAAACTAATATCATTACTTGCCTCTGCGCAAATTCGTGATGCTGATGAACTCATGAATGACAAAGCTGAGAGAAACACAGGCTTTGCTTTTGAACTGTTTTTGCCAGAGCAACCACGTACAGTCAGCACTTGGGAAGCTTTTTAAATCAGTCTGGTTTTGGGTAATCTCTGAAAGCATCTTGTAACACAAGGGTCATATCCACTGCTGTCTAAACCAGAAAATTTATTTTTACTCTGGTTCCATCTTTACTGTAAAAACCCCTCTTTCTGAAGGGTTACCTGAAAATCTGAGTGAGATGTTATATTTGATTAAATTTATTCTCTTAATATAATGTAAATATAAGTATTGCTGTCTGTTTCTGTTTCAGTATTCCCTCTCTTTTTTTTTTGTTTTTGTTAAATGACTTGTATCAGAGTCTTTTTATATACGTATATCTTTTTTCATTAAATATTTTTCTCCATGCTTTGGAAATGTTGCTGGTTTTAGGTTTGTCAGTGAGTGGGGAAAAATTGAAACTCTTCAGAGGACAGACAAATTAAAACTTGATTTTGAAAGAACTGTAAGAGAGGGATAAATTCGGTTGATAATCTTGTTTTAAAACGAGCTTAGAACGTCTGCCATGTCAGTCAGCCTCCTCTCCCTTCCACCCCTGTACCAGTGCCCCACTCATGGACTTGGTTGCAGGGTAGTGAGATTTTAATATGGCCGGAATCTGGAGATGATCAACACAAAATCCCATGTCTAAAATGTTTAGCAGAAGTCTTGGATATGGCTGCTTTGATTGGCAAAAGGTCTAGGTTTTGCTTTGCTGTTGTTTTAACTGAGGCTTCATAAATATGCCATGTCCTGCACTTGGAGCTGACACAAAATCCTACGTGTGAACAGGCAGTGTTGCACTGCAGTTGTTTGCAGTCTGGCGAAGACAGAAGTTTTAGCAATGTTAGTTGGTAATTGTATGAATGTTCTGGCTGCATTTTTGCACTATAGCTGTTTGCACAATTGGATTTGCATGAGTCAGCTCACCACTCTGAAGCTTTCCTCTCCCACTACAACCAGAGTAGCTGCATCCAGACTATTTTTCGGGAGCAGCCTGTGGCACATGTGATCCCCATGGCAATGCCAAGCAGCATTTGGGAGGGGTTAATTTGCATTGGTGAAAATCCAGCCAAGGAGTCTGCTAGATGCAAAATGCTATGGAATAATCACTATGTTCTCTCCCTGTTTTATTTACTTAAAGGGAAAGTAAAGGAAGTGACTTTCCTGGCCATGTGAAGGAATCTGGCAATCTCGAGCCTGGTAACGCTTAAGGATGCTATATATAAAAGTTGAATTTTCAAGATGATATATGAAGTTTGTGTACTAACTGCTTTTATTAAATGAGGATTTAATTTGTATTAAAGTATCTTTAACAAGAATATCGGTGCTTCATCATCACTGCTGTAGTATTTTGAGAGTTTTCAGTTTAAATGTATGTAGCAGCAGTTTAACCTTACCTTGTTTGTGGACATCGTAGGTGTTTGCACTTTCAGTTTCTTACTGAATGATAATTCACTAATTGAATAGGTAAAGTCTGCTATTGTTTGTGAAAAAGAATTTGGGTTAAAAAAAAAGGTTAAATATTGCTGAGGGAATGACTTGAGTCATGAGATGTAAAGCTGTTTAAATGGTATTGAGCAGTGGAAGAGATTTGGGTAGAGAAGAGTGGGAAGAGATTTGGATATTTCATACATGCAGGTACCGAGTGTGAAGGTAGTTGATGTTCAGCTGGTATGATTTACTTGCTCTGTCAGCTTTGCTCCTTTTTGGAAAGAATGGGTTTAAGGTATTCTTTTTCATAGTGGTTGTTTTCCAAAATGGTTGGGAAATAGGAGAAGTAAATATAGTTCCTATTTTGCCTCTGTTTTATCTCCCCTTCCACTCTTAAACAGTCTTATATAAACTTAAAGACATGAAAAGCAGCAGTTCTGGGTGAAACATGCCATGATATTGCTGTTCAGTCCCTCAAATACTGCAGGCTACTTGGGATTTCAAACGCATTTCTGTTCAGCCAGATCTCCGCTGCAGCAGATCGACTGTAGATCTGCGTTGTCTGGGAAGTCTGGCCGTGTTTTATCTGACATAAACACAACGTCGTTGAGAACGGTGGGGTATCTTGTTGACTTGGGCTTTTACATAAGAGTTGCTCAAGTCTCTTAGAGCTGGAAGACATAAAATTTAGATCCTAGATCAGTAAGATCAAATTTAGTACAATTTTAGTAGCGAGCCTGGAAAGCGAAACTCACTGATTCCCAGTGTGATCCCGTTTTGGTCTACTCTACGTGCTTGTGTTAGGTGAGGGCAGGACTGCAATGTGCTGTTCAGCCTCCTCCATTGCTGCCCTGTTGTTGCTGGCTTGCACGGCTGGATGGAGAAGCCTTCTAGGGGTTTGGATTCCAGAGTTAACGTGCTTCTGTGGAACGAAATAGGCATCAGAAGTAGCTAGTACGTGAGTATTGCGTCTTTTGCTTTCATGGAGCACGCCTCTGCCGGCAGCTTTTGTTTCTGTGGAAGCAAACGACGTGAGTAAAAGTCTCTGTTTTGGGGTCAGGAGCTTACTTTGCAATGGCAATGCAGGGAGCCTGATAAAAAGAGTCAAAATGGAGACTGCAAGTGCTTCTCTCCTGTAGCTTTTGCTGGCTCCTCAGGGCAGTAGCGAGATGACTGATGATTTGTGATTCCGCACTCTCCCTGAGAAGATAAATGTATTAATGACAGTGGTTTTCATGCAGCAATAAAAGTCACGGGTCTGCTGTTACCGTGAGACCAAGGGGGGAGAACCTGTTTCTACTTCACCTTTTAAGGAGCAAGCAAAAACGTTTCATTTTACCTGTGGCTTTCATCCATAAAGGTTTTCAGGCATTACCCCTGCATTGTGTTAATTCTCCTCTTCACAATAGCAAGGATCATCTCTTCTAGTTCTGGCGTTCAAGGCCTGTACTTTAATACTATGTAGAGATACACACCTGGCTGGAGGCACTCTGGTTTAAGGCTATGAATAGAAATCTTTTCATAAGGCTATTCAGCATGCTGCCTTTCTGCCTACGAGTATTTTACTTGTGAACTGCAAAAAAGAGATTTGAGGGGTGTGGGGAAAAAGGATGGGGGCGTGGAGCACATGCTGGGAATTTCCCAGCAACTGACATATGAATTTGTTCTGCTCACCAGCAGTTTAGAATCACTTCTCCAAGAGTTTGCCACTAACAATATTTTGCTGGGGCAGTAGAGCTGCGTTATGGTAGCTGTGGGTCTTTACTCGCATTTTTATACTGTTTTGTTCTTGCTGCTGGCAGCCACTATTAGCCATTGCTTGGGATTGAAATGCAAAGAACATCAATATCTTTTTGGTGAAAAATGCTGCAAAGACTGCGCCCCTGGTAAGTCATTTTCTTTGGATGTTGGTTATACTTGCTCAATGTACTATTTGTCAGTGAATAACCCACAGGTTGTAGAAAGCAGGTTGATGGAAATATCATTCAAAGGTAGGAAGCATAACACGGAGAAAAAGCATTGGATGAGAAGACTTTCGTATCAGTCTAGACTGACAAAAATTATTTCTGTGACATGCTACATTTAGGAGTCCTCTTTGAAAGAGCAACATGTCCTTTAACTTCTTTTGTGTGGCTCAGCTTCCTTCATGTGTCAATCTGGTGCATTTTTATTGTGGGAGTATTAGCTGAGAGAAGATGGTAGGATTGATGTTACTGTCCTTTACATAGCACATAAAGCAGCTCTGAGATCTTGCATAATGAAAACTTCAGGTAATTAATTCTGTTGCTAAAGATGGTTTTTTAACAAGGTTTATACTGCTTAAGACTTGTTTTTTTTTTAAGGAAAAAGATATGCTTGATGCATATACAGAGATTAGCAAAGCCTAACTTGACAGGAGATGTATTTGTTTCCTCCCTTCTTATTGTAGAAGCCGAAGGACTCTGAATTCTGGGGTTTTTTTTGCATACATATGTGTGTTTTTTTCCACAGTTCAAGTATCTCTGGAAACAGTGCAGTGTTGAGAAGTACCAATGCGAAATATCAGACCTCAAATACTTTAATAGTTGGAATTTCATTATAGAAATGGCGTAGTGATGGAGAGTAACAATAATTAACAGGCAATATTGCTGTTTGAGGGGTGATCCCCTTAACAGAGGGGATGATTTTTAGTACAGCCAGTGTTGACTGTACTAAAAGAAGGGTATATCTGTGCTTAGAGGGAGCATCAATCATGTCTGTAAATGCAGTTGCAACTTAATCTTACGGTTTTATGTGCATCTTTCAGAATAGTTACTTTGTCTTTTCATAATTAAGTACTACACAAAATGGATATGGCATGAACTGATGCAGTAGTATTATCTTCAAAGATGCTAACTGGAATAAATTCAACCTTTAATCTAAGACATGAGGCAGTTTATTGCATTCTCAAAACTATTTAAATCTGAGTGTTTCTAAACTCAGAGATACTTGTATACAGATATAGATAATCTTTCCATCTCTAAAGTTTTGTTCCTTCTTATGCTGAAAGAACTTTTATCTTTTTTTTTTGCATTGTTAGCAAATCTACCGCATTTGGGGAAACATGTCTTCACAGTTTTGATTGTGTAGATGGTAAAAATGTAGAAGTCTATTGCATATATTGTGGTCTCTAAAAATCTGTATTTTGCTACTGGTAGGACTCAATAAAATGCAGAGAAAATTGGAGCGAGCAAGAGACTTGATGCTTGATGTTCACCTACAGAGTGGGGAAAATGGAGAACCAAAATGAAAGAAATGGTCTGTGAGAATAGGGATGTATTTAAGCTCAGCTGTAAAAACTCTGGTCATTAAAGCTGTCTGCAGTTCCTGCAGCCTGTGCTCTATGGGTGGGAAGCTAGTGAGGTAGAAGGGACATGTCTGACTCCCTTTACAAAATCCACTGTGAACTTGCTGTTTCAGTTTGGGCAAGTCACTTTGCTCACAAACCCTGTTGTCCTAGCACATCTGTCTGAACCTGTGTGAGCACTGTGTCCAGCTTGGAACCTGTGGGTGCAAGCATTCCGAGCTTGTTTCTAAATGCAGTGTGAGATACACACCTGTACTGTTTGGAATAGTGACAAATGCCTGTCGCCTTGCTCTGTGTCTCCGTTTGTGAACAGTGGAGCTGGTAGCATCTGCGATGTTGTTGGGTGCCAGTACAGGTGTGTACCAAAACCCAACTGCATTCTTTCATGCCTTTATGGGCTTTCAGAATGCCAACAGAAAGACACTACAAACATTTATTCTTGGCTGCTTCACTAATGAATTTTCTGCAAATCTGAGCAGTCCGTTACCATCTTTTGTACCTGTTTGGGGTGGCTTTGGGTTGAGTTCCGTGATTTATCTCAGAAGAGAAGAGAGGATTGGTCATAAAGCCATTGTATTACACTGGAGATCAGACTTACTGCTATGCTAAAACCCTGCTTTTTTTCCTAACTGACATTGGCTGCAAACTGCGATGTCTAAACCATATGAAAAGGTTGTCTGAAGAAGTGATATTTAGAAGCAGCTGAGAGAATCATTTGGGGCATTACCTCAACTCCCTGCAAGTCATCAGGCTCCTGCTAGCCCCTTTTAGCAGCTTAATTCACAGTGATGCTGGGGCTCAAAGCTTTTAGGCATTTTGTCATGTCTACATCTGGTGAATGTTTTCAGCCAGAGTTGTAAGTGGAACTGTCACTTTCTGGCCACTCTTTCATTCTAATGCATGAAAATTAAGAGGGTTTCCTTCTGATAACAATCAGTTCCTCCTCCACGTGGTCTTTTTGTAGGTGAAAGAATGAGAAGCCGCTGCACTGCAACAGCAGACACGGTCTGTGTGCCCTGTCAAGATGAATACTTCAGCAGTGAGCACAACCACAACTTCTGCGAGAGTTGTACAGTCTGCAACACTAGTAAGTCAGCTGTATAGAGGTGGTTTCTTGACAAGAATTTGGGAGGCAACCAGTCTTCATGTGCTTTCTTATCTTGGCATGCTTCTCAAAGGCTGGTGTCATAAAGCCTGTCACTTGAGATGACCAAGTCCAAAGACTGGGTTGTCATTTCAGTAGCTGATATCTCCTGGTTCCGGCTGATGGTCAAGTCTCTGAAGGGAAGCAGGCTTGTACTGCCTGAAAACTGGTGTCTTCAGAAAATTAACTCTGTTCTCTACATTTGTTTCTAGACACAACAGATAGGCACTGAGTCATTAATTTAATTTTTTTCTTATTTCTTGTGTCTCACTTGTCATTTATTCTATTGTTGCTAGGGAAGGGGAGCGTGGAAGTGAAGAAGTGTGAGAAGACCTCTGACAGAATTTGCATGTGTGTTGCAGGTTACATGCCAGATGTCAGATACACACTGGGAAGTGGTAAGTTAGTGATGTGTCAGACTCAGCTCTTGCTTCCGCTTCAGATGAGATGGTTATTTGAAGTGTAAAAGCTGTTGTCATGATCTCACTGCTATCTCCACACAGGTGTTGCAGCAGGGTAGTTGTGCAAACTTGCTCTGTGATTCCTGAGCTGTCAGAAATCTTAATGCTCTCTGTTAATATCCGTAATTAGCCAGTAGAGACAACAGGAAACCTTGCTAGTTGCAGACTAAAATGAACCACTGAGTATGTTGGGTTGCTTCTGACTCAAAGACTGATTTTTAGAGGCTGTGTGGGTTCTGTTTGTGTCTGTTCCAGAAGATAGACTACTGGTATAAGCTATTAGTAATTACTGTGTAGCTGTCATGCAGTTACGTTGCTAACTGAACTCAAATTCTGTCTCTCTCTTTTTTACCAGTGTGCTCCCTGTGTCCCGAAGGGTCTTATTCCATAGGGGGAAATGAGAACTGTCGACCTTGGACCAAGTACGTGTCACTGATCCAAACATGTTCAGAGCAATGTTGTGGGTTTAATTCTGTAGCAGTTGATGCCCAAATCATGGTGTGCAGAGGAAACCTGCAGTAGCTGCAATGAGCCGTGTTCCTTGTGACTCTCGGGAGCCTTGAGCAATCTGTGTGCTGATTCTGAAGCATCTGCCTTCCACCCTTTCTCTCTTCACCTGTGGCAACAACAGTGTTCTTAGCCTGGGTTTTTTAGAGGTCTGGATGTTTTGTTTCTGTAGCAAAAGGTTCCCTTGCCAAATGCAGCTGTGCTTCATGGCTGTTATGTGTACAGATACTAAGAAAAACCATGTCAATTTTTTTCCAGTAGTAACTTGTATTATCGTAGTTGTTCTTCATGTATCTGTAGAATGTAGGAAAAGGTGAAGCCTCAGTTTGTATTGATAGAACAAGGATTGTAATGTTCACTCACTCGTTCCGTGGAGATCACTTGCAAAGTCATTACTGCCTCTGTTTGAAAAACTGCACTAATTTATTTCACATCTCTAGCTGCAGCCTTCTTGGGAAAAATACTCTTCGACCAGGGACAAAAACAGATGATGCTGTTTGCAGCAACCACGTCACACAGCCAACTCCCTCTCAGAGTGCAACACCTGCTTTGAACCATTCCACCACGGACAACAAGAATAATGTGTCGACTGCAATGTCCTCACCATCCAGACCCAGTGTGATTTCTGTCATCTGCCCAGATACGAACAGCCCCACAGGGGCTAACTGGGGTAAGGAGAGGGAATGACCAAGACTAGTCTCTCTAATTTCTAGAGCTGGTCAGGAATTTTCACCTGAAACTGATTTCATTGGAAATGAAATCACTCTCTTTCTCAGAAGCCACACCTGTATTTTACAGTCTTTCAGTGAGACTCGCACAGGATTCCAGATTTTTTGCTAGACTGCTTGGCAACTGGAACTTTTAGACTGCGGTTCGAGTGCTTCTGGAGTTCTAGGTTGCTTCTTTTGAAGTTGGAAAGCCATGGAAACTCCAGCTAGAACCATCAATCTTTTTTAGTATATTCTTCTGTTTTTCTTCCAGGATCTTTATCACTTATCCTTATTTGTCTGATACTGCTCATGGTTAGTGGAATGTCCATCCTCCTGTTGATTATACAAGCAGCCAAAAAAGAGACCAAGAGGAGGCCTTGTAGAAATAAGGGTGAGTTTCTTTTTATGGGGAAAAATGTATAGGAAAGAATAATCAGAGCACCCTATTTGAACTTCCATAGTGTTTTTTTTAATCATAATGAAGTCTACCTGGCGAAGTAGCACAGCATCATCTGGAGTTAATACCAGTGGTATTAACTGAGAAGAGCTGAACTCTGTATTCAGGATTAAGTGTCAGCCTGACTCTTGAGTCAGCCCACAGCAGCCTTATGTTCCATTCATGGAGCAATGGTAAAGTGTATTTTCACTGTTGCCTGTACTAGGTGTGTCCTAGCACTGGCTGGAAAGACCAGCACTGACCCAAATATCCCTCATAGGTGCCTAGTCATCCAAGAAACTAGAAAAGTCCCTGGCTTCCCTTTCCTACCCCTTCTACTCTGTACAATATTATTTTTTTTTTTAAATTATCTGTCTTTCAGAAGGAAGGAGCTTTCGAATTCCTGTCCAGGAAGAACAAATTGACTCCAATTCCAGTCTCATCAAAAACTGACTCCATGTTATGTTACTGTTTCCTGCATTTCTGAGCCGATTGATTGTAACAAGTAATGTGACAGTGCATTCTGTGGCTATGTGTGTGGGTGTGCGTAACTGTGTAATTGCACTTCAGTTCCTTTGGGTCTCCTTGAGCAGCCCCTTTGGCATTAGGACCCATGGGAGCAGCTGTTCTTGGTGTAACCACGTGAATCTTTCTCTTAGGCAGATCCTGTGCACAGCATCCCTGTTGCTGGAACTGAGTTGATATGGTCCTCTGTGCATTTCTAGCCAATTCTGCATGTAGTGACAGACAATTGTCTTTCGACTGAAGAAAGTGTTTATGAAGCTCTAAGAGCTTCACTGAGCAGACAGAAAAACAGGGAAATCAAAAGGCCTGCTTTATGACTGAGTTTATATCTGGTCTTACAGGTCTGCAATGCTAAGCAGAGCATGTCTCCCTCTTCTCAGTGCAAGTGGCTTTGGTGTTTCAGCCTAGTTCCCAAATGAACTCTCCTCACTTTAGGTGGAGAATCTCCCCTGGTGAACCTAGCCAGCTTCCTTTGTGCTTTCAGTTTTTCAAGTTACCTCTTCCTGGTCAAGTTGAGTGGCGTATGTCAGCTGTGTCTCCAGAGACAGTTGTCATTGCTGGTAACTCCCATGCTGGCTGTGCACCAGAATAGCACCAGAATTCTGGTGCTAGCTGTTAAGTGCCTGTTGAGAGGTGGCTACGCAATGCCACTTCTCTCTTTCGTTTCTTCAAACATACCCATTAAGAAAATGTCACATTAACCTATTGAGCGGTATCCCCATTGTCAGGCCAACAAACGGAATTACTCATGATCACCAGGTAGCTCCAGATCACCAAGTGTTTGGAAATCTCCGTGGAGCTCTTCATGTGTGTGGAAAATAGAATGTGTGGATTGCCAGAAGGCAAAGGGAATGGTAATTTCTGATAAGAACATTGCTAGTGGAAACTGTTGCTCAAAATAGGGGGAAAGGTGCAGTACCACTTGTCTACACTGTAAACTTCAGTAGCTGCCATATATAACTAATTTTTATCTGTAAGCCCCGTGCAACCGACAAGCTGTGTGTTTCCTCTTGGTGGACATCCTGTTGTGCTGAATACCCTGGTGTGTCTCTCATCAGCAAGGCTGCTTCAGTCAAGCCTGGACATCTCTGCTGTAAAACTGTTCAGCTTAAACCACTTCTGTGGGACTTGATTGCTTGCTGTGGGTGTAGGGAGAAACCCACAAGCCAGGTTGGTTCCAGGCAGCGCTCGGGGTTCGGGGAAAGTCTGTCTGTCTTAGGTTTAAGAGCATGTACATGGACGTTCAGAGTTTTTCTGCTGATGGGTGATAATTTTGTGATGGTTTAGAAAAAATAACTCCTTACGTTTTCTCTGTTAAGAGGCAAGTGCTGAACTCTCAACACAGTTCTGATTCTCTGGGCTTTCAAGGGTTGCATTTTAGCCAATATGTGCAAAGATCATGTAACAGTGGGTAGATGTCTGCACTATTCTCTGACCATTCATCTGGGGGGGTCACCTTATGCATGCTGTCAATGGAACCTGCGTCCCGAACTGAAGAGCACTTGGTTTGGTCTTTGTGCAGTTAAAATACTTGGTTGTTTGCCTGTACACTCTATGAAATGAATTTTACTTCTGTAATGTTCTACCACAAGTTGATCAGTCTGTAGTTTTGGAAAGCATTCAAATTTTAGATAGAAAGTTCAAAATCTGAAGTGTCCGAGAGAAACCTGCGGTATTATTGTTAGTAGCTTTTGGTGTAATTTAAATACCTCAGTGTAAAACTTCAAGAAGTAGTAAACTTGGAAGTAACATAATTCAGAAGTGTCTTTCACTTCAAATATAACTCATCAGTAGATAACTCATTAGAATAGGTATTTTATGTACACAGTACCGAAGCATATGCCAAAATATGCAACAGGAAGTGTATTCCAGAATACAGCTGGTGTCTAGAAACATGTTTTTAAACATACATTTTCTTATATATGTTATACATATGGTGTACTTAGCAGTGATTTCCTGTTTTGAAGTGCATATACAACGTATATTAACATTTGTATTATATACAAAGTGTGATAGTGACTTTTTGAAATAAATTGTGGTAGCAGCTACGTGTGTGGTTGGAGAGTTATTCTGTGAGCGTAATTCTCAGAGAAAGCAGGATCACCAAATGGTCAATCCTGTGGCTTAGCAGGCTGTTCACATGCTGCCTTGGTCAAGTTGGGTGGCATATGTCATGCCTTGCCTCCGGCTTTCTGTGTCACTTGAGAAAGCTGTGTAGTGATTTTTTAAATTATTTTTTTTTCCTCTGTAAATCTGGTCTGGCAACAGTCCTGACCTGAGAGTTGCTGGGATGATACCAGGATGATAAGGCTCAGCCCCTTCAAAAACATAAAGCCCCTGTTGTGAATGTAGAGGTATTGAAGGTGTGCTGTGGCTTAAATGCTGTCATCTTGCAGTCAATTGGATGGCCAAGTGCGATGGATGAGTCGGAGAAATGCATTCCTGGGAACAGCCAACAAATTCTCGGAAACGATGCTTATCAAGTTTGTAGGCCGCGCTTCAGGGGCAATAAAGCAAGTGCCACGTTTCCATTGATCCGAGCAAGGCGCAGATAGCGAAGGAGCTGTCTGAGGTTGTGGGTTCTATGGTGAGAACAGCCCACAGGAACGGGGGAGAGCCGTTGGCTCGACAGAGGTGCTGCTGTGGCAGCCGAGCTCCTCCGTGGTGTGGGCTCTCGAGCTGTTTCCACGAATCTTGCTTGTTTTCTGCCCGCTGGCTCCGCCGCACAGGAAGGCGCCCGAGCGCGCTGGGTTCTTGTGCTTTCCTGCAGCCTCCTGATCTGGAGATTTCCTGCGAACTAGAGCAGGAGTTCCCTCCGGCTGCAGAAGGAGCTGATGGTGGCCCTGGAAGCACCCAGGGTTGCGTTTGCTCACGGACATTTGGCAAGCTGAAGGCAGGCAGTTGCCCGTGCTGCGGGGTGAGGGGCTGCAGTAGCCAGCCCCACAGGCTGTGATCCTGGGGGTTCGCGTTGATGTAGAACCGAATCCTCTCGCTGTGCACAGATGTATCATCTAATCCTACCAGAGGAGATAAACCAGAAGAACGTTTGGTAGGATTGGGGGCATTTTATGATCTGATTGTTTTGAGGATTTGAGTGTTGGTAGTTTGCTGGTTTAAATAAACTGATGTGGATATTTCACTCTAAAGGAATTACTTTTTTTTTTTAATTGCCATGTTCAGTCTTGTTGCTCTTCTGTGGAAAAATTTGCTTGGATTTTTTTTTTGTCCCTATCCTCCTTAAAATGGCAGACAGTAGTTAAAGAGAGACAGAGAATCTTGAACTGATTGGTGCTGCCTTCTGCCCACATTTGTCTTCCTACATGCCAGAAATGAAACTTTCCCTTCTCAAAGGTATGGGCCTGTGTCACAAAGTAAGTTCCTGTTTTTCAACTGTTCAGATTTCCCCTTTTTCAGGCACTTGAGAGAGAGACAGTCTTAAGTTTTGCGGCCTCATCTAAGCTGATAAAGATAGGGCTGTACTGGAAATCTTTTCTGGGGTAATGCAGTAAGCTGAGGTGTCAGCTCTATTCTGCACACCGATGCTAACTCTGCTTTTAGTGCAAACTATTGACAGTTAAAGCACTTTGTAAAACCATATGGTTTGTAAATTAAATGCATCTTGGTTGCCATGGAGCCCTGATTCAGGAAGTCACTTAAGCATGTGCAAAACTATCTGCATGAATGTTGTCACTAAAATTTGGCCTCTTGATTGCTTGAAGAACCGTCTGTAAAACTGACTAATAATCCCTATAATTTTGTGGTTTTGTGTGAGAATAACACCATTTTTTTGTGAGTAATTTAACTTCTTTTTAATTGCATTAGCTGTAAGTTACAGGCCACATGGCCAGCCCCTTACGTGGTTTGTAATTAGCCACAGACAGAGGTTAGGTCAGATTGCTACAAAATCACTGGGAGGAAAACCAAACAAAAATCCAACCCTTCCTGTTTTCAGGGTTTCTATCTACACTATTTTTTTTCTCATTTACATGTGAGGCTACCACATAAGGCTGCCTGGAGTTTAAAAAAGGCTATTTGTTTCAACTGGAGGTTGGTTTTGCTTATTACATTGCTGCATCCAGTTTTGGAGAGTGTTAGGACAAGAACAGATGATATTTGAGAGCCATGTTGGAAAAAATTTATATAAATGAGCTGAGTTTTGCAGTTCTTGAAAGCTCCTTTTAGGTTTTGCAGTTCTTGAATGCTTCTTTCAGACTGCAGATTTGGCAGTTAACACATGCATTTCATGTTTCAGTAGTTATTATAGTTAAAAAAAAAAAAACCCAAACAAAAAACAACAGGTCTGTAAATTTATGCTTTTTATGTTCATTTCCTCCTTTGTGGTTTTTTTTTGGTTTTCCCCTACAAATTCATGACAAGTTTCTGCTGTGGCTACCCCAGATCCTTTATCTCCATCATTTTTCTTTTCACGTTCTCCTGTGGCTTAGAAGTGCAGCCAAGTGACTCAGGTTTGCCGTGAGAGACTGAAGAAAGGTCACATCCGCTGATGCACACCATGCCAGGTGCTAAGCTGGAAAGGAAATACACGGCTGGGTAATGTCAGGGACTTGGGGGTTTTTTCCTCTGTCTGGTTCAGTTTCCCTCTATGAAATGTCAGTTACGTTACTGCCTGGTCCCTGCTCCGTTGGGATTGTCACTGCTCTTGCTGAGTGGGCTGTGCAGCAGCCTGGGAGCTGCCAGGCTCCTCGCACGGGCAGGGGCAGAGCTCTGAGCATCCTTGGTGCTGCTCGAAGGAAGGATCCAGGGTCTGTACGAAGCCCTAATTCTTTCGGGGTGAGGATTTAGCTTGCCTCAGGAACCCACGCCTGGCACCGCATGGATCACACGTGCTTCTGCCACGCTGTTTGGCTGCTGTGCTGCAGCATCACCTGCCTGGGGGGCATTGCTGCTCCCCGAGTGCCAACAGAGGG